CTGCTGCTGCTGCTGCTGCTGCTGCTGCTGCTGCTGCTGCTGCTGCTGCTGCTGCTGCTGCTGCTGCTGCTGCTGCTGCTGCTGCTGCTGCTGCTTCACTGTCGGGTCAGTGCACAGACCACAGCGGCTGCTTCCACACTTTTAACTTTAAGTGTTTTTAAATTGCCACCGAGGTGTCGCCACGCTGAAGGAAAGTTGTCCCCGGAAGCCTCATGTAAGTAAAATCTGGAGTTGTACCGAGAGAAAGAAATACTTCAAGCTATCCAAGTCGTGTATGTGGAAATGTACTGAAGTGAATCATCAACATGTATTTAAAGCTAAAACAGTTGCATTTGTCAAGCAGGAGATCATTTATTATATTTTAATCATTGTTCCGTTGCAGTTTATCTCAATTTAAAACATCATGTGATCGTGTTTTATTTAAATTTCAGTTGTTTCTACAGCTGGAAAATTAAATGTGACACACGACCACGTGTGTTTGCTCCTAAAATAAAGTATAAAGTGGGTTAAACTTTATATTTAATCTTTTATAGAATTTCTAAAGTAGAAGTTTGTAAAGAAAACTGCACTTTCTCTTGTTTGAGGCAACCGGCCCCTTTATTTCTGCTGCAGGATCAAGTTAAAGCGATTTGGACGTGAGATTAATCAGAAACATGTTGGGTCCTATTTTTATCTTCCAGTCCTCTCAGTCCAGACTCTGCCAGTATCTCCTCCATCAGCTCTGTTCCTGCAGACTGGCCCTCGTTGTTCCTCCACCTCCGTTCATTTAGTCCATCTATCCCTCACCTGCCTCGTCTTTACCTCCTTCTCTGACCTTTCTCTTCTTCTCCTCTGACATCTTCATTCGCTGCCTTTTCCCGATCACTTCATTTCACATCTTTCTGCCCTTTCTCTCAGTTTTTACCTTCCACCCCTTCTCTCACGTCTTCAAATGTCCTTTTCATCCTCCGTCTCCTTGTTTCCTCCACTTCTCCACCTCTTTGCTTCTTGAAAAGTTTCCTGCATCTTCTCCCTCTCCTCCGTCTTCTCCTCCTCCATCACTCTGTTAACCCCCCGTGTCGTCTTCTCCTTCTTTGCTGACGCCTCACTTCTTCAGGACGCTGCAGTCTGGATGAGACGACTTTTGGCTCCTGCTCTCTGTTTACCATCCGGCTGATCCTGCTGTTTTCGCCGCGCTGCAGTCAGGCGGTTTTTAATCACTTATTTTTAACTCTGCGAAATAGACAGTTCTCTATCACGGGCACCCGGTGAGTAATTTGCGGGGATGAATACAAATAGCCGGGGACGTGTCTTCTTAAAGACACATTAAAGTGAGCGCTTACAAAGTCAAACATCTAATAGTTCATCAAGGAATTCACAAATACTATAAACAAACAAGTTCTTGTCATTATAACTGATGAGAATTGAATCCACGCTGTTGATTCTTCTACAGAAACATAATTGTATTCACTGCAAATTTCTGAACGCTGGTGCTTGTCTGTGGAATAATAAGTTCTGGAACGCTGAAAGTTTTGAAAGGGCAAATCTTTATTTTGAAACTTTGCAGACGTACACCTGCTCTCCTTCTGCATTCTCTTATTTTAGAGTTGAGTTTAGCACCAGAGCAGAAAAAAGAGTTGGATGTTTGGATTGCGTTGAGAACGGGTGAAATCCTGCAGACGTGCATTTTCACTTCATGACTCAGGGAGGACGTCAACTGCAGTGATCTGAAATATCATTAAAACCTGCACAAAACCTGTGGGTGGGCGCCTGGACTGCCGAGCCTCTTATGAAAACACATCATTATCTTTTTTTTTTTTTTTGGGGGG